CGAAATCATTTTAAAATTTTGATAAGCGGTCATATGATATAAACCACCCAAACTGTCCAGTTTCTTTTAACGTGCGAGGTATAATTATTCGATCATAACATTTTCTATAAAAAATGAACATTCTTGCATTAAAATTTGGTCATAACAAATGCATGTTATTCGATTATAACGATCATAACAAATGCAAGTTATTGACAAAAACAAAAACAAATGCTAATTATTTGATCTAGAAAAAGATGGAGTCTATTTCTCGATCTCTTTTTATATGTTCCTAAACAATGCTCGTGGACACAAAATTCAAAATTTTAGAAATCTATTCAAAATTAAATTAAAATGACACAATGTGGATATATTATTGCTGACAGAGGAAAGACCACGCTAAATTGATGATTTAAATCATTTATAACAAATGCATTTTTATGTAAAATCGTAAAGGAGACCGTGTACAATTTTGAATGATTACTTTGTATCTGCACTTCTCTGCTATATGTTGAAATGCTATTATTGATAATTGATTGCTTATTTTTTTTGGTCAAACCGATATTTCATTAAACTTAAAGAGTTTAACTTTCACTAAGGAAGGATACAATAAAGCCACAAATAGCTAAACAACCCAAAGGTACAATCAACATATTGATTAAGTAAATGGTAAAATTAAAGCAACAACTACTCAAGTAGAGCCTTGGGGATAGAAGAGAACTTGAAAGTTCAAGCAAAGTAGTAAACGACAAAGAACAAACAAGATCCTGATCGGAACCACTAAGAGAGGAAGTCAACATCTCCATGGTCGTTGAGGCCAATAGACAATATCAACTATTGTTGAACGAAAATGATTAGAGTTCTCACTTATGGAATTTGTTTCGCCTTCAACACTATGCTCCCTATGTCATTAATCACAAGTAAAAAAATTGGAAGGAAAACAAAGTCCATAAAGGAGCAGATATGGCATTGATAGCCTGAAATTATGACTTTGGGAGGGGGAGGGGATACAATATAATTTTTAAAATTTTAATATCTGCGAAAGATTAATGATTAGTTTATGTTCCACCACTTACTGATGAGATTTATTATTTTGGTTATTACTTGGGTTTGTTAGATGTCCAACCTATTTCAAAGATATTCGAACTGTCCGTGGAGTAGTATATCCTGCGTTTATAGATGCACTTTCTGCGTTTGGTTTGCTCGAAACTGTTTTATGGTCTTCTAAAAGTGTGATGGATGACTACGTATCCATTCTTTCAAATATTGTCGGGTGAGGGTGAATGTAAGAGGATTACTGCTGCTGCGCGTTGTGGTTTGGCATGTCGTAGTTTAGAATATTGTTTTTTCCTTGAGTTATAAAATATCATATATTTTCTTATTAATTATTTCGGTGTTTAGTTCTTTTAATGTTATCTTGGTTTGTTGTA